GTACTGGCAGGTCAAAGTGCTGCGGAACCTCTGGCATTTTGGCCTGCGGAAGTTCCCGTTTTAAACCAGTTAGGCGTGAAAATCCTGCGGAAGTTCCCATTTACAACGTTTCCACTTTTCCCATAGTAAGCAAAGTCCTGCGGAACTTCGGCAAATTTGGCCTGTCCTGCAGGTGTTCCGGTGAATTGTCTGAGTAGTAGTTTTATGTGTATCTTCAGAGCCTACAAAGCTGATCAAGATCAAGAACAACTACCAGTGGTAAATGCTATTGCTCCTAACGATGTTTTTGGCAAGCAAGTGCAGAACGCGGCCGTCAGAGGAGATTCAGATGATGCTTCCTACCCACATCTGAATACTAATGGAAAATTCATCCCTAATCGGCGCATCATTCATTTGGATTTGAAAGGAGGCGCTTACAAAGTAGGGACGCTAGTCCGTCTAGAATTATATGGCAGTTCTTCGTATCTGATTTCAGCCGGAATTCCTATCTGAGCTATTCTTCTTTTTCAATCGAATAAGAGCAACTGGTGTGTTGATTGAGTGGGAGGATATGTTTCCATACACAGGAAATCTTTCGGATGCTGTCAACGGAAATGCATATTCGATGGAAAACGTACGTGAGAAAAACACCTATCCACCAAAAACTTTCAGTCATTTTAGTACAAGTGTAACTTTTGTTTGCTCTCTACTATAGTTTTTTCTTACGTCTTTCAAATTGAATTTTACAATTACTAGCCCTGTATCGCTCTTCGCCAAGAAACATCTGTTTTTTCCTCATTCTCGAAGGGCTAACAATCGTGCACAAGCTACTCGGATATGTAAACACTTGTATATTCTCAGGTTGAGTACATTTTGAAAGAAGCCAAGCGCCATCGCCTGGAAGTTATACCTTTGGTGCAGACATTCGGACATCTTGAATGGGTTTTGAAACTCGAAAAGTTTGCTCATCTCAGGGAAGACAGCAGATTTCCCCAGGTAATTGGTGTACATTTTTGAATAAACTTTTTTTTCATGACTCATTGGTTTTATTTACATTTTCGCGCACATGAAGAATTTGTATCTAGGTCATTTGTTTTCCTGAGCCAGAGGCATGGGAGCTGATAACGGATATGATCGATCAAGTCGCCGCCGTGCACAAGAAGATTGGAATGCCGTTCTTCCACATGGGAGGAGACGAAGCTTACCAAGTACTTTTTGCTGTGTCATTTCTGTCCAAAAAATTTGTTTTTGATGTAATAGGAGGCGCAGGACTCATAATTCAGTCGCTCATAAGGCCAATACTGATCTTCCATGACATTTGCTGCTGGCACTGCTAAAAGCATAAAAAGATCGGTTATTCCACATGTCGTGAGGGACAATCTTTTTAGGCTATATCTTCTCAGACAACTGACCGGAACTTCCGCAGAACGTTCGCG